AGGTTACATGACAGGGTACGTTTATAACCGTTATTGTTGGCCGTTAGGTTACTTGACAGGATACGTTTATAACCGTACTGTTGACTGTTAGGTTACATGACTGTATATATGTATAACCGTACTGTTGACCGTTATGTCACATGACAGGATACGTTTATAACCGTACTGTTGACTGTTAGGTTACATGACAGGGTACGTTTATAACCGTTATTGTTGGCCGTTAGGTTACTTGACAGGATACGTTTATAACCGTACTGTTGACTGTTAGGTTACATGACTGTATATATGTATAACCGTACTGTTGACCGTTATGTCACATGACAGGATACGTTTATAACCGTACTGTTGACTGTTAGGTTACATGACAGGGTACGTTTATAACCGTTATTGTTGGCCGTTAGGTTACTTGACAGGATACGTTTATAACCGTACTGTTGACCGTTAGGTTACATGACTGTATATATGTATAACCGTACTGTTGACCGTTATGTCACATGACAGGATACGTTTATAACCGTACTGTTGACTGTTAGGTTACATGACAGGGTACGTTTATAACCGTTATTGTTGGCCGTTAGGTTACTTGACAGGATACGTTTATAACCGTACTGTTGACCGTTAGGTTACATGACTGTATATATGTATAACCGTACTGTTGACCGTTATGTCACATGACAGGATACGTTTATAACCGTACTGTTGACTGTTAGGTTACATGACAGGGTACGTTTATAACCGTTATTGTTGGCCGTTAGGTTACTTGACAGGATACGTTTATAACCGTACTGTTGGCCGTTTGGTTACATAACAGGATACATTTACAACCTACTGTTGACCGTTAGGTTACATGACTGGATACATTTATAACCGTACTGTTAGCCGTTAGGTTACATGAATGGATACATTTATAACCTACTGTTAGTCGTTAGGTTACATGACTGGATACGTTTATAACCCTACTGTTGACCGTTAGGTTACATGACTTAATACATTTATAACCGTACTGTTGACTGTTAGGTTACATGACTGTATATATGTATAACCGTACTGTTGACCGTTATGTCACATGACAGGATACGTTTATAACCGTACTGTTGACTGTTAGGTTACATGACTGTATATATGTATAACCGTACTGTTGACCGTTATGTCACATGACAGGATACGTTTATAACCGTACTGTTGACTGTTAGGTTACATGACTGGATACATTTATAACGGTACTGTTGACCGTTAAGTTACATGACTGGATACATTTATAACCCTACTGTTGACCGTTATGTTACATGACTGAATACATTTATAACCCTACTGTTGGCCGTTATGTTACATGACATGATACATTTATAACCGTACTGTTGACTATTAGGTTACATGACTGGATACATTGATAACCGTACTGTTAGCCGTTATGTTACATTACAGGATATATTTATAACCCTACTGTTGACCGTTAGGTTACATGACTGAATACATTTATAACTGTACTGTTGACTGTTAGGTTACATGACTGAATACATTTATAACCGTACTGTTAGCCGTTAGGTTACATGACTGAATACATTTATAACTGTACTGTTGACTGTTAGGTTACATGACAGGGTACGTTTATAACCGTTATTGTTGGCCGTTAGGTTACTTGACAGTATACATTTATAACCGTACTGTTGGCCGTTAGGTTACATGACAGGATACGTTTATAACCCTACTGTTGATCGTTTGGTAACATGACTAGATACGTATATAACCCTACTGTTGACCGTCAGGTTACATGACTGAATACATTGATAACCGTACTGTTGGCCGTTAGGTTACATGACTGGATACATTTATAACCGTACTGTTGGCCGTTTGGTTACATGACAGGATAAATTTAAAACCGTACTGTTAGCCGTTAGGTTACATGACTGAATACATTTATAACCGTACTGTTGACTGTTAGGTTACATGACTGGATACATTTATAACCTACTGTTGGCCGTTTGGTTACATGACTGGATACATTTATAACCTACTGTTGACCGTTAGGTTACATGACTGGATACATTTATAACCGGTACTGTTGGCCGTTTGGTTACATGCCTGGATACATTTATAACCGTACTGTTGACTGTTAGGTTACATGACTGGATATATGTATAACCGTACTGTTGACCGTTATGTTACATGACAGGATACGTTTAAAACCGTACTGTTGACTGTTAGGTTACATGACAGGGTACGTTTATAACCGTTATTGTTGGTCGTTAGGTTACTTGACAGGATACGTTTATAACCGTACTGTTGGGCGTTTGGTTACATGACAGGATACATTTATAACCTACTGTTGACCGTTAGGTTACATGACTGGATACATTTATAACCGTACTGTTAGCCGTTAGGCTACATGACTGGATACGTTTATAATCCTACTGTTGACTGTTAGGTTACATGACTGAATACATTTGTAACCTACTGTTGACCGTTAGGTTACATGACTGAATACATTTATAACCCTACTGTTGGCCGTTATGTTACATGACAGGATACATTTATAACCGTACTGTTGACTGTTAGGTTACATGACTGGATACATTTATAACCGTACTGTTAGCCGTTATGTTACATGACAGGATATATTTATAACCCTACTGTTGACCGTTAGGTTACAAGACTGAATACATTTATAACCCTACTGTTGATCGTTATGTCACATGACAGGATACGTTTATAACCGTACTGTTGACTGTTAGGTTACATGACTGGATACATTTATAACCCTACTGTTAGCCGTTAGGTTACATGACTGAATACATTTATAACCGTAGTGTTGGCCGTTAGGTTACATGACTGAATACATTTATAACCGTACTGTTGGCCGTTAGGTTACATGACAGGATACGTTTATAACCCTACTGTTGATCGTTTGGTTACATGACTGGATACGTTTATAACCCTACTGTTGGCCGTTAGGTTACATGACTGAATACATTTATAACCGTACTGTTGGCCGTTAGGTTACATGACTGGATACATTTATAACCGTACTGTTTGCCGTTTGGTTACATGACAGGATACATTTAAAACCGTACTGTTAGCCGTTAGGTTACATGAATGGATACATTTATAACCCTACTGTTGGCCGTTTGGTTTTATGACTGGATACATTTATAACCGTACTGTTGACCGTTAGGTTACATGACTGGATACGTTTATAACCGTACTGTTGGCCGTTTGGTTTTATGACTGGATACATTTATAACCGTACTGTTGACTGTTAGGTTACATAACTGGAAACATAAATAACCGTACTGTTGGCCGTTTGGTTACATGACAGAGGTTACATGACTGAATACATTTATAACCGTACTGTTGACTGTTAGGTTACATGACAGGGTACGTTTATAACCGTTATTGTTGGCCGTTAGGTTACTTGACACGATACATTTATAACCGTACTGTTGGCCGTTAGGTAACACGCCTGGATACATTGATAACCGTACTGTTGGCCGTTAGGTAATTATACCATGACTGGATGTATTTATAACCGTACTTTTAGCCGTTAGGTTACATGACAGGATCTGCATTTATAACCGTACTGTTAGCCGTTAGGTTATATGACTGGAAACATTAATAACCGTACTGTTGGCCGTTATTGTACGGCTGGGTACATTTATTTGATACACAGATTAATGACTCGATTTGGGGCGTAATTTAATGCATTCAACTTATAATGAACGTCTCTTGTATCTTCATGTTATCGGTTTCCGCGCACTTAAGAAGCATCCGCGAGTTCGTACTCATATCGGTAGAAAATTGTTGAAATTATAGATGACTGTCATAGACATGAACATAACCTACTAAGGGAAACAAAAAACTAACAACATAAAACCGTATTTAAAAAAATCAACCAAACTTTCTCCCGTCGGAAGTAGCCGACATATGTTTCAGTGTGTCTATTTTGATTTAGTGTTCAAAGAAAGATAACTCGAATACATTAAAAAGAAATTCTCCATAGTGATCATGACCCACGTTCACTTACAAATGCTTCATTTGGTATTAAAAAAAAAATATCTTTGATCGTCAAAACCACGGACTTAGATTCCGTGTCAAAACATGTTTTTATTTAATTCACATTTTTTATTGATATTTCAATATGTCAGCTTGAACGAATTCATGTAATTTTAACATTTTTAATTATTTAGTTATGATATAGAATCTATTATCATTTTTTTTGTGCAGTCTTATATCGCTTTTGGTTGATGGTAAATTATTTCTAATTTGATTCTGTTTTAAAAAGGTGACAATTGGATGTTCATTGCATAACAAGGTTTACGTTTCATTGCAAACAGTGATGTATCTATAAGAATGTCTCCTTCGCTCTTCGGAAGTGGAAAAAAATCGGCGAGGAGATATATATGACCTCATTTACATACGACATTTTCGTACGTTTGTCAGACTACAAAAAAGACCGGTTCATGAATGAAAATGATCACTGTTTTTCAGGTATGAGTTCATCTTGAGCAAGATAAAAAGTGCATTAAGCAAAACTGCATATGTACAATGTACCGTATGCGTGTTTTTTAATCGGTGACTAATTCTTATGTTTTCCAGACGAATATCATGTAACAATTTTTGTGTCAGTTTACAGACGATGGCTAAACGTCTAAACTATCCTTGAGGGTAGTGTCCAGCAGGTCACGTAGTAACGAGATATAGCTTGATAAAATGGCTGCGCGGAAATATATAACGCGCAGATCATATATACAATGTATATCTCACATATATATGACCTCATAAAAGTAAAGCGTGCATTTCCCTGTAAATTGTCATAAGGTTTTCAGCTTTAGATGAAAAATGCATCCGATGCAATCATAATAATGTAAGTAACAAAGAAAACCGAACAATATATATATAACAATTCCAATGATCTAGTCAGCAATTTATAATAGTGGAATACTACCTCAAGTTTCTCCCAAAGTGTGGTGGTCTCCCTTATTGGAGTTCTTTTAACAGAAAGTTAAAATTTGGTCTCTCGACTTTCATGAAAACATTTGGCGCGTGGGACCCTCCGTTTTGGATGTTAATGAATACTACGGACGTATAGACATCTGCTGGGAGCCATGGCGAGTGTAAACTTATCAGGTAGACTTTCTGTCGTTTAATATAACTATACACATTGTAGTAACATGCTTGTTCGATGATCTCATCTTGTACAAGCTAAGTGGAGTGGCCTGTGGTCACCGCTACTTTCGGTTTCACTTTCTCAAGCTTCGAGCGCACTCGCCATACAATGATATTGTTTTCTCCAGTTCCGATTCAGATTCATTTTCAATTACCAGATGGGGAGTTGTTGGACCAGGGCTCGTATTCATGAAACCGTTTTCATGCTCAAGCATGGATTTTGTGCTCAAACCAACATTCTTGTAACTCATCACTTAAATCATGTCAAACGATCAAAACGTCAAATGAAATAATTGAAAACAGTTTACGACTTTAAGTCTCTTCCAAGTTTTTACAAATCATTGAAAAAATAAAATATTATTATCAAGTTATAACCGGAACAAGAAATTAGGCTTGAGCACTAATTCCATACTTGAGCATATGAGACCGGTTTCATGAATACGGGCCCTGGATTTATGTAAACGAGTATCAAACCAATTTAAGGCACAGTACTGTATGTACTCGTTCTGCAATTAATCAGGTCGGGGAAAACCACTAACTTGGGTATAAAATGCAAACTCGCCTATTATATGCCAATAGAGGTATGAATTTGTTACTAAAAATAGCCAAAATCACTTTAATCTTAACTTTTTCAAATTGTTTGTCCAAGTCGCATTTATTCAGTCATGAAACATAAAACAAATGCAAATATAAACTTTATCTGCATGTGGGAAAGTATCAAAAATAAATGCAATACTTCCGGTAAAGTTACGTACATCAAGTTTCTAAGTAGCCAACGCTTTCAGTAAGCATCTTTCAGCAAAATATTATTTACCTTGTTGTTAATTAATGCGATTTTTAATAACATCTTGCAAAAGTTACTGTTAAAGCGATTTGGGTTATTTTTAGTTACAAATCCATACTCCAACTGGTGTATAATAGGCGAATTTGCGTAATATACGCAAGTTGGTGGTTTTCCCCAACCTGTTAATAGGGTACAAATGCAATCTACATACACAATGTAGTGTAGCCTGTACGTTGAAAAATGTTGGGACTCTTTCAAAGATGGCGTCTGCCAAAACAAGTAGAAGGTGAGTTCTCAGAACATGTTCGATGTTTCTACTTGAAAACTTTTTAACGATCAACAGACAGTTACAGATGCTCTGAATCAAAAGATAATAGATCAGAGTGTTATAAAATGCTAAAATTCCACTCCAGAAAAGCATCTTTATAAAAGTAGTGTTCGCAAGATGACCGAAGAACAGGTTCAAAAAATAAATTCTGAGTATTTATAGACCCATGATATATATGTTAAGAAGCCTTTAAAGATTAATTATAATCTACACTGGTTGCAAAATGTCCTATAAACAAGTAGAAATGTGCATTTTAAATAGGTGACCAAGATCTATATTTGTGCAGTTTGGACACTCCGTAACTTACGACTGAACGATTGTGACATTGGATGCAAAGTTGTAAAATTGTATGGTGGGGACTGCATATTCGCACATAGGATTGAGCGGTTGGGACTTCCATCACTTAAATGTTATTTGTCTTTATAATTGCAGATACATAGAAACACATTTTACCAATGGAGCTGCACTACTGTTACGAATGTTGCTTTGGGGATGAAAATCCGTAGCCCAAGTTTCCTCTGGCCCTGAAAACCAGACTTAGGCATTTTGACAGGTAGATGTCTGTCAAAATGCCTAAGTCTGGTGTCAGGGCCAGAGGAAACTTGGGCTAAAAAATCCACAGAATATCATTGACCATTCAGTGCTCAATTATGGAATCAACATATTGAAGGGGCGGAGCAAAGGGGGTCATTATTCTATGTAGAGATTTCACCCGGCAATCCGTAGAAAACGTACCCCCTTAATATTTTTTATGCTTCAACCTGTGAAAAAGTGTCCCCCGTAGAAAAGTGACCCATATATATCGCAGGCAAACAAACACCAAATATATTAATTCTTTTCCGCGAAGAGATATCTCATCTGCCCGTCTGTCCATCCATCTGTCAGATATACTTTCTAGTTGTGATCGGTGAAGGACACTGTTCCTAAAGATAGTTTACAACCTTACATCTTTGTATTTTCATGGATTTTGATATAGCTTCCCATGAATGTTTGAAAGACTGGTTCAAATTCCTCATCCTGATTGTGATGATTGATGCAGTACAACTGACTTTAGGTCAATATTAAGAACTTATAAACCAATTCTATTAAAGACGAATGAGACGAATAAAGAAGGTTAAAATTATTGTAATTCAAATTTTCAATATGTTTTTCAATGATTGAGCACTGAATGGTCAATGATATGTTGCGGTTTTTCACCCCAAAAACTACATTCGTTACAGTGGTGCAGCTCCATTGGTAAAATAATTCACTTTGTATCTGCAATTAAAAAGACAAACAACATTTAAGTGATGGACATCCCAACCGCTCAATTTTAAATTGACACATATAAGTCATACTTAAATGTCAAAAAGATAATTCTATCAAATCTAAAATATCATATCCCAATACTTTATAACAGATGTAGTGTAATATTTCCTGACTATTCAAATTTGAAAATTTTAGTATGAGCTTTTTTCTATTTGTTTCATCTTGTAGATTCTGAAAGTGAGGATGAGAGACCAATGCTGGGTGGTAATATGGGGATGGGGTCATTTGCCCCTTCAGGTAAACATAAACTGGAAGACACAGGAAGGGATCATGAGGAAGGACCATCACTCAAAAAACCCAGAAAGGATAAAGGCAGTAGTTACACAGAAAAAGCTAAAAGGATGATGGTTAGTCAACAACAACCTTCAATATCATGTTCTAATAGGATTTCTTTACTCACAGCGAACCCACACAATGTCGGATTGAACCACAAAAATAATCACTCAGTTTGGAATGTAGTCATCATGCATATGGCCGTTTGCTGATTCTTATGTGAAATAACTATCAATTTGAATTGTTGTTCTGTCCCTTTTCTTTTGAAATTGTATTTTAAACATTCATAGCGTTAAAGTTAATTAACTTAAAGTATAAAGATTCAAATAAAGCACAAAGATTTTTTTTCTATCAGAGTGTACATTATATAAAAGTGTGTATTACAAAATGCCTTGTATCATCAAAGTTTGATGCACATTCATGATTGCTTAATCATCAATTATAGTTTGGCTTGAAGTTACACATTTTGTTTTGTTTCCAGGCATTGATGGGATACCAAGCGGGAAAGGGTTTGGGTAAAAATGAACAGGGTAGAACAGAAATTGTAGAGGCCTCAAAACAGAAAGGTCGCAGAGGATTGGGTCTTCGTCTCGCAGCTCTGGAGCCTGATGATGAGGCAGATTGGGACTTTGAGGCCGAGTCTGTAAGTATGCAAATCTATTTTTGAGTATTTCTGTCGTAGATAACTATTGAGGAAACAAAATAAAGCATGACGTTGTGAGTAAATAGTGAACTAAACAAATATTTCTGCCATAAATTACTATTGAGGAAACAATAAAAAATTATTATACTGTCTTTCCGTGTCACGAAATTGTAAAATAATTTAATGAGTATTTCTGCTATAGATAACTATTGAGGAATCAGTTGACTGGCTCCCAAGATGTGAGCAAGCAGTACCTGACATTGAGACCCTAAGGAAATGGAAACTAATTGGTCCTGTATGTATCATTTTTGTGAAGACTTACCGAGTATATGTAAATTTATATATTGTACAGACTTCAATGGACAATTTTTTCAGTGATATGATAATAATGTAACAAGTTTTAATATTTTGTCAACTTAAATGATTTGATAAAAAAAAAAAAAAGTCCAATACCAATATCACACACTTATAAATTGATCATTAATATCTCACTGAAGATCATAATTTATCCAGTCAAAATTTGAATTGTATGATTTATAGAGGACTAAGGTGTTTAGCATTGGATTGATTTATAAAGAGTACCAGAATCATTGGGAGACATTTTTCTTGCTTTTTAAAACATTCACGATAAGCAATGATAATAGACTTGCAAATATTTATCACAAGTTTTTTTCACAGAAAAAACGAACAATTGAGGATGAAACAAAGTTCTGCGATGAAGATGTGTTGAGAGGAATCTTGAATAGTAAGGTGGGTGATCAGTTATGTGTAAACTGTTTGTACATGTGTGATAAGATATCATTCCTAGCCATACTCTAATAACTTGACCAATATTGAATGGAGGGTAGGTGCGCATGTGCGACAGGACAGTCGTCTCTTCACTTGGTCGTCAAGATTTCTATCAAGAAACTGTCTCCAACAGCTATGACTACTGATAATTCCATTCTATTGCACTTTTAACTTACCCTAGAACTCTGGTATACAGGTAATATCCTCCAAACCCCGTCCATTTATTCGATCCATACATTGAAAATCCATCATAACGAGTGAGCACTTTCCAACATGGCGGCGCCCTTATTGGCAACCGGAAGTGATACATTTCATCAAACTTTCTCCCAATAAACAACAGTGTGATCAACATGTTGACAATATTGATATTTGTCGTGGACATTCTCACCCATCGATCATCAACTCACCGTTGCAATTCTACGTAACCATCATATCCAATGCGTAGATTTACCTAACAACCCCCGCCTACTATACTATCTAGCCCTCATTCTTATCTCCAATTCCAACGATGTTGAATTAAACCCAGGTCCCACTGAGCCCAATGTGGGACGTAATTCCTCACGTGCATATCTCTGTGGAACTTGTGATGAGACAGTTGACTGGTCTGAGAAGGGTATGGTCTGTGAGACCTGTGACCAGTGGTACCCTGCCCAATGTCAGAGTGTCCACACCATCACTTACAATGATTTCGTTGATTCCAATACCAGCTGGCACTGTATCATATGTAACAACCCTAACTCCAGTGTTACCATTCATGATCTCCACAGCCATGAGGTATCTTCTAAAATCAACCTAACCTCCCATACAGATGATCTATCTGGTCTTGATGGCTCACCTAGCCCTGACAGGTCTGGTACCAGGCCATTACATTCCTCAACACCAATCGCCGAGGGAAACGGAGTAAATCGTCTGCCCCCCTACGGATCCTAAACATCAATTTCCAGTCTCTCAAACAGAAGCTGCCCAGGCTGGCCAACGTCATTGACCGTACCAATTTTAAACCAGACATCATTATTGGGACTGAGACTTGGCTGGATCCCAACATAAAAGATAGTGAAATCTGTCTAGAGGGATACAGCGTCTACCTTAAAGACAGGGTCACACGCGGAGGTGGCGGCGTACTCATCGCAATCTGCGAAACCTTAAAATGTGACACAGTACTGGAACTGGACAGTAACTGCGTACTCTTATGGGTAAAACTGCAAACCACTGGACATAGTAACATCTATATTTGTGCCTACTACCGCAGACACACCTCGGACAAGGAAAGCCTCAACCAATTCGAATTATATGTCTACAGAGCACGTAACAACCAGAACACAACTATCATCATAGGAGGTGACCTCAACTTTCCAGGAGGGGACTGGTCCCATAACAGCTTAAAACCAGGTGCACCCAATATACCCTTCCATCACCAATTCAAGGACGTGCTGGATTCAAACCACCTAATCCAGTCAGTGCATGAGAATACCAGGAAAGATAACAACCTAGACCTCCTCATTACTAATGCACCAAGCATCGTCCAACGTGTTGACGTCCTACCAGGAATATCAGATCATGATATAGTCTTTGGTGAGTTTGACGTCCACCCAGTTCGACTAGATCAACAGCGACGTCAAATACCACTCTACAGCAAAGCAAACCGGTGTGGCTTTATTGAAGAATTCCACTCGATTCTTCAGGTATTCGAGGACATGTCCAAAGACGCCAGTGTCACAGCTAACGACATGTGGATCGTATTCAAGAACGCCATCATGAAAGGTATCTCTGACAACTAAAAACGCAACCGCCATTCTTGTATCAGCTCAGACCTGAAGAAAAAGATCAGTAAACAGGGCCGTTTATACAAGAGGATGAAGAAATCACAAGATCTACCATCCAACTATACCGCCATCTGAAGCGTACCATCCAGAAAGATCAAAGATGGGCTTTCTGGAAGTACATTGAGGAAATTGTCATCCCAAACGACAATGACACTTTCTCAAAAGGATTTAAGAAATTCTGGACCTTCATCAAACATAAGCGGAAGGACAAGTTTGAAATCCCCTCACTGAAGCACGAAGGCAAACCATTCTCTGACGCCACAACCTTCTCCGAGAAAACTACCTTCACCCGCGAGGAGTTTATATCATCTGGAAGAATGAACCCTTCCCCGGACTCCCCAATCATTGACAACATCAACTTCACCACGAACGGGATTGGTGAACTTCTCTGAAATCTCGACGCACATAAGGCACCCGGGCCAGATAACATCTTACCAAGAGTTTTAAAGGAGACACACGCGGCCGCAGCTCCATTACTTTTTTTTTTTTTT